AACCACACATCCTCCCTGTAGGGGATTAAAAACAACCACAACTCTCCCGGATGGGATTAACCAAAAAACCACACAACTCTTCCGGGAGTGGTATTTCCAAAAACCCACATCTCCCCGGGATGGGATTTAAAAACACCACACTCTCTCCCCGGGTTGGATTAAAAACAACCCACAACTCTCCTGGTAGGTAAAAACCCAAAACCACACACTCCCCTGGAGTGGTATTAACCCAACAACCACACATCTCCCCTGGTTGGTATTAACCAAACATTTTACACCTTTCCTGTTTTGTGGTTTTTTTTAATTTCCCAATTTAAATTTTTGGGTTTTTAAATTTTTTAACAAAAAAACTTTTAGTTATTTCAAAAACATTTTTTGTTAAATGTATTTAACAACAAATTTAGGTTTTTTAACAAAAACAAATTTTGGTTTAAAAAATTGTTTTTTAACAAAAAACATTTTTAGGGTTATTTAACAAAAAAAAATTTTTTCTGTTTTGGGTTTTAACAAAAAACAATTTGGTTTTTGTTTAGGTTATTAACATAGTTTAGGTTATTAACATAGTTTAGGTTATTAACATAGTTTAGGTTATTAACATAGTTTAGGTTATTAACATAGTTTAGGTTATTAACATAGTTTTCACTACATATCTGTCCTGTTATATATTATGTTCTTCCTGTATTTTGTTCAGTGTTAATTTTGAGGTCTCCATTCTTCTTCTACTTAAGTAATTCAAGTATTTAATCTTCATTATCTCATTATTTTCACTTACTCATTAAAAAACATTGTTTATATCTGTTATTTTTCTGTTTCAAAATTTATCTTGATACATGCACATGCATATATATATATATATATATATATATATATATATATATATATATATATATATAATATATATATATATATAACATACATCTAGGTTTTTCTCCTTTTTCTAAATAGCTCTTGTTCTTTTTTATTTCTTCTATTGTCCATGGGGAAGTGGAAAAGAATCTTTCCTCCGTAAGCCATGCGTGTCGTATGAGGCGACTAAAATGCCGGGAGCAATGAGCTAGTAACCCCTTCTCCTGTAGACATTTACTAAAAAAGAGAAGAAGAAAAACTTGATAAAACTGGGATGCTTAAATGTGCGTGGATGTAGTGCGGATGACAAGAAACAGATGATTGTTGATGTTATGAATGAAAAGAAGTTGGATGTCCTGGCTCTAAGCGAAACAAAGCTGAAGGGGGTAGGAGAGTTTCAGTGGGGGGAAATAAATGGGATTAAATCTGGAGTATCTGAGAGAGTTAGAGCAAAGGAAGGGGTAGCAGTAATGTTAAGTGATCAGTTATGGAAGGAGAAAAGAGAATATGAATGTGTAAATTCAAGAATTATGTGGATAAAAGTAAAGGTTGGATGCGAGAAGTGGGTCATAATAAGCGTGTATGCACCTGGAGAAGAGAGGAATGCAGAGGAGAGAGAGAGATTTTGGGAGATGTTAAGTGAATGTATAGGAGCCTTTGAACCAAGTGAGAGAGTAATTGTGGTAGGGGACCTGAATGCTAAAGTAGGAGAAACTTTTAGAGAGGGTGTGGTAGGTAAGTTTGGGGTGCCAGGTGTAAATGATAATGGGAGCCCTTTGATTGAACTTTGTATAGAAAGGGGTTTAGTTATAGGTAATACATATTTTAAGAAAAAGAGGATAAATAAGTATACAAGATATGATGTAGGGCGAAATGACAGTAGTTTGTTGGATTATGTATTGGTAGATAAAAGACTGCTGAGTAGACTTCAGGATGTACATGTTTATAGAGGGGCCACAGATATATCAGATCACTTTCTAGTTGTAGCTACACTGAGAGTAAAAGGTAGATGGGATACAAGGAGAATAGAAGTATCAGGGAAGAGAGAGGTGAAGGTTTATAAACTAAAAGAGGAGGCAGTTAGGGTAAGATATAGACAGCTATTGGAGGATAGATGGGCTAATGAGAGCATAGGCAATGGGGTCGAAGAGGTATGGGGTAGGATTAAAAATGTAGTGTTAGAGTGTTCAGCAGAAGTTTGTGGTTACAGGAAAGTGGGTGCAGGAGGGAAGAGGAGCGATTGGTGGAATGATGATGTAAAGAGAGTAGTAAGGGAGGAAAAGTTAGCATATGAGAAGTTTTTACAAAGTAGAAGTGATGCAAGGAGGGAAGAGTATATGGAGAAAAAGAGAGAGGTTAAGAGAGTGGTGAAGCAATGTAAAAAGAGAGCAAATGAGAGAGTGGGTGAGATGTTATCAACAAATTTTGTTGAAAATAAGAAAAAGTTTTGGAGTGAGATTAACAAGTTAAGAAAGCCTAGAGAACAAATGGATTTGTCAGTTAAAAATAGGAGAGGAGAGTTATTAAATGGAGAGTTAGAGGTATTGGGAAGATGGAGGGAATATTTTGAGGAATTGTTAAATGTTGATGAAGATAGGGAAGCTGTGATTTCGTGTATAGGGCAAGGAGGAATAACATCTTGTAGGAATGAGGAAGAGCCAGTTGTGAGTGTGGGGGAAGTTCGTGAGGCAGTAGGTAAAATGAAAGGGGTAAGGCAGCCGGGATTGATGGGATAAAGATAGAAATGTTAAAAGCAGGTGGGGATATAGTTTTGGAGTGGTTGGTGCAATTATTTAATAAATGTATGGAAGAGGGTAAGGTACCTAGGGATTGGCAGAGAGCATGCATAGTTCCTTTGTATAAAGGCAAAGGGGATAAAAGAGAGTGCAAAAATTATAGGGGGATAAGTCTGTTGAGTGTACCTGGTAAAGTGTATGGTAGAGTTATAATTGAAAGAATTAAGAGTAAGACGGAGAATAGGATAGCAGATGAACAAGGAGGCTTTAGGAAAGGTAGGGGGTGTGTGGACCAGGTGTTTACAGTGAAACATATAAGTGAACAGTATTTAGATAAGGCTAAAGAGGTCTTTGTGGCATTTATGGATTTGGAAAAGGCGTATGACAGGGTGGATAGGGGGCAATGTGGCAGATGTTGCAAGTGTATGGTGTAGGAGGTAGGTTACTGAAAGCAGTGAAGAGTTTTTACGAGGATAGTGAGGCTCAAGTTAGAGTATGTAGGAAAGAGGGAAATTTTTTCCCAGTAAAAGTAGGCCTTAGACAAGGATGTGTGATGTCACCGTGGTTGTTTAATATATTTATAGATGGGGTTGTAAGAGAAGTAAATGCGAGGGTCTTGGCAAGAGGCGTGGAGTTAAAAGATAAAGAATCACACACAAAGTGGGAGTTGTCACAGCTGCTCTTTGCTGATGACACTGTGCTCTTGGGAGATTCTGAAGAGAAGTTGCAGAGATTGGTGGATGAATTTGGTAGGGTGTGCAAAAGAAGAAAATTAAAGGTGAATACAGGAAAGAGTAAGGTTATGAGGATAACAAAAAGATTAGGTGATGAAAGATTGAATATCAGATTGGAGGGAGAGAGTATGGAGGAGGTGAACGTATTCAGATATTTGGGAGTGGACGTGTCAGCGGATGGGTCTATGAAAGATGAGGTGAATCATAGAATTGATGAGGGAAAAAGAGTGAGTGGTGCACTTAGGAGTCTGTGGAGACAAAGAAATTTGTCCTTGGAGGCAAAGAGGGGAATGTATGAGAGTATAGTTTTACCAACGCTCTTATATGGGTGTGAAGCGTGGGTGATGAATGTTGCAGCGAGGAGAAGGCTGGAGGCAGTGGAGATGTCATGTCTGAGGCAATGTGTGGTGGTGAATATAATGCAGAGAATTCGTAGTTTGGAAGTTAGGAGGAGGTGCGGGATTACCAAAACTGTTATCCAGAGGGCTGAGGAAGGGTTGTTGAGGTGGTTCGGACATGTAGAGAGAATGGAGCGAAACAGAATGACTTCAAGAGTGTATCAGTCTGTAGTGGAAGGAAGGCGGGGTAGGGGTCGGCCTAGGAAAGGTTGGAGGGAGGGGGTAAAGGAGGTTTTGTGTGCGAGGGGCTTGGACTTCCAGCAGGCATGCATGAGCGTGTTTTATAGGAGTGAATGGAGACAAATGGTTTTTAATACTTGACGTGCTGTTGGAGTGTGAGCAAAGTAACATTTATGAAGGGATTCAGGGAAACCGGCAGGCTGAACTTGAGTCCTGGAGATGGGAAGTACAGTGCCTGCACTCTGAAGGAGGAGTGTTAATGTTGCAGTTTAAAAACTGTAGTGTAAAGCACCCTTCTGGCAAGACAGTGATGGAGTGAATGATGGTGAAAGTTTTTCTTTTTCGGGCCACCCTGCCTTGGTGGGAATCGGCCAGTGTGATAATAATAAAAACATCTGGAAGAGATGTAAAGTATGAGTCATGTTCTTGTGTATGTTTCTTATGAAGACGAGAAACAGTAATGGCGCTAGGTTCGTGCCTTGAAACAGTAATGGCGCTAGGTTCGTGCCTTGGGGGCAATCAATATTCTAATGGTTATAATTATATAATTTTTAAAGGGGTGGAGGGATAAGCCAGTGGAAGGCCTTGGTCATATGACTAAAAGCTACAGCTGTGGATCATTATATATAACTACGACCCGCCTCAGGAAATACTTGTTCTGTTTCCTGACAAACCTTACCTAACCTAACTTTGTGGGCAGTGACCTTCTCACTTCTGATAGTCGACTATTTTTTATACCAACACCTTTGGTGATTTGTTTATTCGATGTTTTAATATCCGCGTACTTACTTTTCTTGTTATACCTGTTGACCATATTTTATTAGCTATTACTTCGTGGTCCAATTTGTCAAATGGCTTTGCAGAATCCGAGTATTAATATTAAGTCAGCCTTTTATTTTCCTTTCCTGGTCTTAGTAAGTTTGCCATAGTGAAAAGACAGATCTTGCTGTGAAGGTTTTTTGACTTGCATAGCTCAGGCTTGTCCACGAATTCAGTAATTTGGTGTCTCAGGACCTTGACAAAGATTTTTTGTGTGCCGCTGGTGTGCTAGGTATCTCAACACTGCTCTCATTGCAATACACTAACTTTTAACATTATATGTACAGGGGGCGAGGACGGAGAGCTGTGTGTGGTGGAGACTCCGGTGAAGACACAGTTCGTGCGTCCAGTAGTGGAGACCAACACCATCTGTCACGGCTGCCTCTTCCCTCGACCGCCCACGCCCACACCCGACAATAACACGCCACCAGTACGCCAGGTGCACATCGTGCACGTGGACAACCCTGAGGGCGGGGCTGTGGAGGTAGTGGTGGCGGGAAGGGAGGAGGCACAACAGGTCACGGCTGTGAGGGAGGAAGCACAGCAGGTCACGACAGCCAGAATCGCACTGGTGCTGCATACCAGCAGTGGCAAGCCACCGGTGGTGTTTACTATCACCACCAACCCTCTCTCCAACACTACCAAGCACCTCTTACTGGTGAGTTACCCTTCTTACTGGTGAGTTAATCCTCTTACTGGTAAGTTAATCCTCTTACTGGTGAGTTAATCCTCTTACTGGTAAGCTAATCCTCTTACTGGTGAGTTAATCCTCTTTCTGGTGAGTTATTCGTCTTACTGGTGAGGAAAATATTTAATTTTCTAACAACTGGAACTCAGGGTAGTAGTAGTAAAGCGTATTAAAATTAGTGGTGAGCGCATTAGCAAAATAATGCGCTCACTACCCCGAAGACTCTGTCTTGGTGCCTCTGTTGTTTCTCATCCTCATAGCAGACAGACAAAAACATTAACCACAGCTTCGTATCTTGGATATAAGTCATCATATGGTGACTTATATCCAAGTTTCTTCTATAAGAATGGTAATGGTAAATTAGGACATACACAACCCAATTCTAAAACCTTTCAAAGAGATCAGTATCCTGAGATACACATAAAGCTTGAAGCTGCACAAAAGTTGCATTATCAACTTATCAGCATGGAACGGTTGAAGCTACCCACATGTGACACTCAGAAGCTATTGCATGAAAAACAGTATTTCAGTTCTTCCAGTTTCTTGCGAAAGGCAAATGTTGACTTACACAAGTCACAATCCATCCAAATTTTTCTGCAAGACTGACCATCTGTTAGGAAAATAAGTACAGTAAGTGCATTAGTAGGTAAGTAAGTCTTATGTAAGGTTAGTGTACATAACATACAAATTTTAACACTGGTCTTGAGGGCGCACATATGTTATACACATATGAAAGAAAATCATTAGGTTAATTTCAGCTAGGATAACCAAATAAAGTCAAACACTGACTTACTTATGATCAGAAAAGATATTCTCCAATTATCTCAGAAACCAGTTTGATTAATAAGGTTTGTAGATAACATACACAACCTAACATCAAGAGATTATAACCTTTAGGAAAACACATCAACACTAAAACTTTAAAGTTGGCCAGTTTAGTGTAAAACTTTAAAGTTGGTCAGTTTAGTGTAAAACTTTAAAGTTGGCCAGTTTAGTGTAAAACTTTGAAGTTGGTCAGTTTAGTGTAAAACTTTAAAGTTGGTCAGTTTAGTGTAAAACTTTAAAGTTGGCCAGTTTAGTGTAAAACTTTAAAGTTGGTCCCGTTTAGTGTAAAACTTTAAAGTTGGCCAGTTTAGTGTAAAACTTTAAAGTTGGTCAGTTTAGTGTAAAACTTTAAAGTTGGTCAGTTTAGTGTAAAACTTTAAAGTTGGCCAGTTTAGTGTACACTTTATAAAGTTGGTCATTTAGTGAAAAGATTTAGTTGTCCAGTTTATTAAAAACTTAAAATTGGTCCACTTATAACGCATAAAACTTTAAGATGACTCAGTCATTAGACGATGCCCTTTCCAATGTTTTAATAGAGAAATGCTAAATCCTATGTATAACCGTCTGAGAAGAAGTATTAAATTCCAGTTTCAAACAAAATAATTCGTTCTTATAAGAGCCCTACCACATAAAGGCAATAAAACTAAGTATCATTTCACATTCGAGATAAAAGTCAATGGCACTGACTCCATTAAATATAATTTTAATCAGAGGAACCAGTGCTAAATTTTTAAGTTTGGAAAGGAAGTTCTCACCTTCGTCTCAAACCATAGGGAAAAATAAAACACCTTCCAGCTTGTATCACAGTGCCCTACCACTTAAAGGAAAATAATATAACGTGAAAGTTACAAAGTAATACTATGCCATTTCGAGATTAAAAGTGGCAAAATGGCACTAACACTCCATTAAATATACCAATTTTCTAAGTAGGAAACACCAGTGCTGAATTTTTGAAGTTGATCAGAGGCAGTGTTCTGGCACCTCTGCTGTTTCTCACCCTCATAGCAGACATAAATAAAAACACCTGTCACAGCTTTGTATCATCATTTGCTGGTGCCACTGTAAGAAACTTGAAAGTGACTTTCGTGGAAGACGCTGAAATTTACAAGAAGATACAAGCAGTGTTTTCCAGTGGGCAGCGCAAAATATGACGTCCAGTGGTGATAAGTTCTAGGTATGGAAATAATGAAGAACTCAAAAGGAACACTGTATACAAAACTCAAGAGGATTACCAAATTGTAATAAAGTTGGTAGAATTACCGACAATATGTAAAGTAAAAGGACACAAGTGCAACTAATGTGACATTTATTGTGGCAACGTTTCGCTCTCCAGGAGCTTTATCAAGCCATTACGTAATGGCTTGATAAAGCTCCTGGAGAGCGAAACGTTGCCACAATAAATGTCACATTAGTTGCACTTGTGTCCTTTTACAGGATTACCAAATAGAAAGACAGGAACACGTACAAGACTTGGGAATAATTATGTCAGCTGACCTTTCTTTTAGAAAACATAATAAGACAAAGATCACGACAGCCAGGAAGATGACGAGGTAAGTACTGTTGAGAACTTTCAAAACAAGGGAAATAATGCTAATGGTGACACTTTTCAAATCGCTAGTGCTCCCTCATTTAGAATATTGTTCAGTGCTGACGGCCCTGTTCAAAGCAGGAGAAATATCAGAGCTGGAACAAAAACAGAAATCGTTTATGGCTCAAAATGAGAAGGTAAAGCACCTAAATTAGTGGGAACGCCTTCAAGTCTTGAATATGTACTCAATGGAGCGGAGGAGAGAGAGATACATGATGATATATACCTGGAAAATACTCGAGGGCTTGGTCCCAAATCTGCACACTGCCATAACAGCATGCTGGAGTGAGAGATATGGGAGGAAGTTCAAAATAAACCCAGTGAAAAGCAGGGGTGCAGTGGGCACAATAAGGGAACTTTGTATCAACATTCGTGGCCCCAGATTATTCAACATTTTACCAGAAGATATCAGAAACACGGCTGGAAGAAGTATTAAGTCTTCGAGAGGAAACTGGACAAGCATCTTCACCAGGTGCTAGATCAACCAGGCTGTGATGGATATGTGGGGCAGCGGGTTTCCAGCAGCAACAGCCTAGTTGACCAGGCTAGCTCCAGACGAGCCTGGTCCATGTTGGCCGGGCTCCGGGAGTAGAAAGACTCGTAACTCATCAAAGGTATATCAAAGGTATACCTATCACATGAAACAATACTTGGGAATGTTTTATAAAGCATTGTTCATAGGTCAGCCACACAAACACAGTCATCACTCTTGCTCAAGACACATTTACCGAAAATTGGATCTTCCGTAGTTGACCTTAAAATTGTCAGAAAAACGTGATTTTTATTTTTTTTATCAGTTTTCTTTTCTCATTTACATTTTATTTAAATTTCTTTAAAATCCTGTGAGAAACAATAATTGTTTTTTAAAAAAAATGCAATTTGATAAAATTGCAAAAAGTTGTTAATTGGCACCAACACAGTCTAAAATTAATAATAAAAAGATACTTTCAATTAACGAACACCAGCATTTATGGTTTGAAGCCGATCAGAAGAGACATTCTCAAGTTATTACCCTAGAATGAGTTTATTTAATAAACTTGGTAAATATGAAATTTACAGAGCTCAAAGTGAGTAACAATCTTTGTTTTAATAAACCCCATCAATGGTAAAAGTTTGAAGCCGATCAGACTACCCAGACTTAACTTGTGGGTTATCATTCTTCTTGTATAATATATCGTTAATAATATTTTGAAGACGACCAGAAGAAGCATTTTTTTCAGTTAATTATCACTTTTTATTCAAAAAAATTGGAGTAGCTCCCTATGGTGTATATAAATATTCCTGTTGGATGAATCCTGTTAGAGGCAGCTGGTCCAGTTGTTAGCACGTTGACCTGTGAGTTTTACGACTCAATTGCCGTGGGTTCGAGTCCCGCCCCTTCTGTGAGTTGTTTGCAACTGTGTAATTACGATTTCGTAAATCTCAGTAATTTTGTTGCAGTGATTTAGTATGTGACAAATATGATCTTTCAGCTGTAAATCTATGTTGGTCTGGGTTGTGTAGGTCATGTCTTGGAATACTTTGTGATCTGGTATCTCGTTACCCTTTTAAAATCTTTTACAATATGCAATGTTAGTGCTGCTGGTCTATATTTTGTTTACCATCGCTATACTGCTGCTGTCTTTGTTCAGAGGAGCTATGTCTGCACTGTTTACGACCTCTGGTATTTCACCTAGTTCTGACTCCTTTCTTGCCTTTGGGGTATTTTTCATTTCTTTATAAATAATGAATCCCACAAATCTAGACGAGATGCTGCGTGTGTGAACATGTTCTCTGATTCTTTTTCAAATTCTGCTGGATCATTGATTCTTCAGGACTACGGTGTTCTTCACACCAACTCCAAGGCTGAGGGACTGATTACCTCACCTTTTGTATATAGTTCTACTGTCTTCAAATTATGTCCAAGAATTTGTATTGATAAAGCCACTGGATGGCGAAACGTCTACATTAAACATGTTGCATGTGTCTAATTTTCGACTTTAACATTCGTTAAATTTAAGAAAAATGAAGATGCTTTGTTAATGCGAGTTTTAGTTTTGTTATTGTAGTTTTATTGAAAATTCTACACAATTCTGCAAGAAAGAATATTTGAATGTGTGTTTTAAGAAAGTCTAATTTCATAGAATTTTTGTATAAAATTGGCATATTGGCACCTATAGTATACAACACGAATTCAATACAAAAATACTTGCTATTAAGATGCACCGGATGCTTAGTGTTTGAAGCCGATCAGAAGAGACACTCTCTAGTTATTATATGGAAACCAGATTATTTAATAAAACTGGTAATTTAAAATTTACACAGCTAAAAGTGAAATCAAAGGTTTCCTTTAATAAAACCCATCAGTACTAAAAGTTTGAAGCCTAACACAACAGTTCTCCTGTAATTGCTCTGAAACCAACCACTGCAAGTCTTAAGAGTGTTATCCTTCTTATGAAATACGTCAGCACTAATATTTTGAAGGTGATCAGTAACGAATGGAAACTAGTATCATTATTTATTTAATAAAATTGGCAAATTGAAACTTAAATAGCCAAATAACAATGCAAACGTTGTG